AGAGAGAGAGAGGATTAAAAAAAAAAAAAAAATTGGATGAATATTTCATAAGGATGTTAAAAATTTAAAGAGACCTTTTTATGTTCGTACTTAAAATTTTACAACACGCATCACGAGATTTTTCACAATCAAGAAAAAAAGATATTATCTTTATAATACTCGAAAATATTCCCGTTTTTTTTTCTCCTCCTAGATAAGGATTATGATACCAAACTTGTTTTTAGGCAAAGAAAAAAAATAAGGCTTACAATTACAGTAAAAAAACAAAACAACAAAAAGGTAGGAAATAATGGAAAATAACTCAAATATCATATGTGTGAGAAAACTACCCTACTACTTACGTTATTAATGAGAAGTGAAATTATCCTTTAACGTTCTTTTTGTTTTCCTCTTTCTCTCTTACACATGAAACAAACACATCCACACACAAACACACACACATACCTATCTATCTTCGTAGACTCATTGTACTCGCATTGAATATGATCGTCTTCGCATATAAAATATGAAACGATGAGAGAATGAAAAGAAGGAAGTATAATTCAAACGATTCGATGTGCGCTTGATCCAAGATTAATTCGTCGCAATTTACGCCTCGGTCACCCAACGCATCCACCCATCTAACCCCCTCTACATAGACACACGTACAGAGAAACTACCCTTCGGAAAGCTTCCCCGAATATACCATTCATATACATACACAGACACACATACATTCATCCAACCGCAAATCAATGTTAATCCTTTCCCACCGACATGAATATTCGTACTTCGAAACGATTTGCAAGCACGATTGTAAATCGACCTCCACTCTGCTATACTTGCATTGCATTGCATTGCATTGCATTGCATCGCATTGCATTGCATCGAACGATACAGAAAAATTATGGAAATGACGTAGTGTTTAAAATGTTTACCAATTACAATCCTCTGAACTTATGTTCTATAAGTATATACGTTTGTTGTATGTCGATGTATATGTATATGTATGTGTGTATTTGTTTATATGTGTGGATATATATATAAATATAATATCGACAGGTATATTGTATATCACACAGTACACATTCGCATACATTTCAAGTAGGTCAATAATACTCGACAATTTCGAATGTGTATGCAAGAGTACAGAAATATTTACGAAAGTAAAAATGAATGAGTGTGTGTATTGTATTTGTGTATGCATGCGAGAGAGAGAGAGAGAGAGAGAGAAAGTGAACAAATCGATCGAAACGAAAATTTAGATTCTTGATTCATCGACGAAGAGAACAAATTGTGCTCTTGGGAACGTAATTAGTAGTGACCAATTCATCGTACTTAATTGAAATTCGAAACTAACCAAACAATAATCTCTTATCCTTTCTACTGTTGTCATATCTTTCAAAATAATTTTTTATTATGATAGGAAAGAAGGGTGACGGTAAAAGTTATTTATTTGCTCATTTACTCATTTGCTTATTAACTCACTTACTCATTTACTCATTTATTGATTACTTATTACTCATTACTCAAAAATACTGGTTTCCTTATTGATTTTTAAAAAATTAAATAGAACACAAATTAAATACTAAATTATAATAAATTATTGTATATTATTTCGCTATATAGGTTTATAAAACTAATGAAACCTTTATAAAAAGGGAAATGGAAAAAAGTGTTCTTGATGCGTTGTCAACGTAATCTTTACTACAGAAAAAAGAAAAGAATAAGGAAAATGAACCTATTATCGTATTCCGTGAATGGTTGAATAGATCTTATATAATCCAAGCAAAGAAGATTCGGGAAGGGAGATTAAGAAGATATCTGACAATAAGGAAATTGCTTACCATCCTTCTGAACTTTTATCCACGTAATACATCGTCTAAGAATATTACGTTTAATCCTAAGTATTTTCTTTTGTCGTAAAAAAAGGAAAAGAAAAAATAATAATAATAAACGTTTACGATATGTTCTTGCATAATGATAAAAGAAATAAAGAGAGAGAGGGAGAGAGAGAGAGAGAGAGAGAGAGAGAATGAGAGAGAAGAAGAAAACGAAAATGGAAAATTGTCCTTAGTTAATTTTTTTTGTGAAGTCAGTATTTAAACATTAATAAAAGAAAAAAACATATAAGAGAAAGAAATTAAATCTATAATAACCTTAATTTACTCAATTGAAAAGTAATAATATACAATATAAAAACAAAAGGATATATTGGAAATAGACAAAATAGGAGAAAAAAGAAAAATGAATAGAAATGAAATCAGTTATATTATATTTGATTCCAAAAACTAGATCTAGAAATGATTTCTTGCGTACGATAAAACTATTTATTTTCATTTTTTTTTTTTTAACCTAAACTGTGTTCTTCGACCGAGTTTCTATCCTACCCCTCATCCTCTTTCTCCGCGTCTTCACTTTTCTTCAAATATTTTTTTGTTCCTTTTCTTTTAATTTGTTCTTTCTTCCCCAACTTCTCGTCGTGAGTAAAAGTTTTCTTCCGCGCGAGGAATTGTATAAGCGTGAGTGAAAGAGAGAAAGAGAGAGAGAGAAAGAAAGAGAGAGAGAGAGAAATAAAATTGAGAATTCGTTCATCGATCGAAATGACAGAAAAAGACGAGATAAACTAAGAGAGGAAAAGAGAAGTATAAGAAGGGTAGAGAGGAAAAGTTAATAATTCGCGAGAGAACATCGAAGGGGATAGAATAAATGCAAATTGCAAAGTACGATGCGACGGTGTGACGTTGCATGAATATTCGCGACTCGCCGCAGGCACGATTTACGATCCGTCACGGATAAGATCCGTATCTTCCGGATGTGTACGAAATATACTATGCATATATATATATATAACTATTCTCTATTTTGCTATGAAAATTTGGAAGAAAATGATGTCGCCGAAATACACGAAATACACCAATTACACGAATAATTTCATTATATTATTGAATTTTTTTCTAATTCATTTGAAAATATTCAAATGATTTCTTACGTTACTTTTTTTCTTTTGTTTTTCTTTTTCTTATTTTTTATTTTTTATACTAATTTGATATAAAGGCGAATTATAGTAAGAAATAGTAAAATTATAAGTCTGTTATTATAATTATCTGTTATTATAATTATATTAATTATATATTATAATTATAGTAAGAAATAGTAGAATTATAAGTCTGTTATTTTAAACAGAATACTTCATTTGCTATTGATCGACAATTCATTTATGAATTAAACAAAAATTTAATGGTAATTGGCAATGCTTTGAACAATTCATTTTATTCGAATATAATAATAATTACTCTCCATTTACAATTTCTCGAATTTTCGATATCGTATTAAGAGAATTATTATTAAGAAAAATCTTGATCATCATATATTTGCAACATTAACAATATTAAAATACTTTAATATAATATAAAATACTTAGATTATATTATTCCTACAAGAGATTCAACAGTTTCAATAATAAACTATGGAAATTTTATAATGATAGAATCATTTTGTTACATTATTAAACAATTAAATATTATTACTCGAGTGATTAATTCAATGATAGTTATAAACGTTTAGAGAACAAGTCCATTTTCAAAAATGATGCTCGTTTTTAATCATAATGATAAAATTAGCCGAACAAGTATTGCACAGTTTAATTCGAGAATAGTCGAAAACGAGGAGACGATTGTACGAAGTTCGCAAATGGCATACTTTTGCAGAAAAGAGAAAGAGAGAGTGAGCGAGTGAGTGAGTGAACGAGTGAATGAATGAATAAGAGAAAGACAGAGAAAGAGAGATGGAGAGAGAAGGAGAAAGAGATAACAACAATACTAACACTGGGAACATAACGAGACGATGATTATGCGCTCCGTACGTTCTGCGACAAATCGTCGCTAATGCGAGACAATTTGCATTAGCAATTACTCGATAGGACGAGTAGTATGTAACTGCATCCGTTTAGTTATGCAGACTCTGCAAAATTAGGATAATAAAGAAGAATGTGTATATATATATATATATACAAGCTTTGTAATACGATCCGCCGGGAATTCTATTATTTCGAAGAGGAATTTCATGATTCACCGATTGAAGTATCACCTAGTAAAATTAACCCCCATTTCGAAGGATTATGATCAGTATCCAGAAATCCATAAGATGAGAAAGAAAAAATGTTATATGTTATTAATCCCTTAGGCATAGAAATAAAATAGAATTCTATATGTTTCAAAAAAAAGATTCTTTTTTATTTTTGTTGTTTATTTTCATTGAACAATTATATGAATAAAATTAATAAATTGCGCGAAATATTTACATTGTTAAATATTTACTTATATATAATAATAATGGAGAATAAGTAGTATTGTTTCAATAATAAATTGTGATATATAGTTAATTCTGTAAATTAAGAAAAAAATTATGAAAACTTTGAAATATTGTATGACAAGGGGTTAATAAATTTGTTCATATAGTTTCAAATTATCAATCTTATTTAGAGACTTTAATTTACGAATGCATTCGATAATTAACAACATACAATAAATTTCTGTAAAATTTGAAATTTATCATTTCAAAAATTTATGTTTTATTATATGAATATTAATTTACGAAAAAATTGACAATGATTATTCTTAATTGTGGAATTGAGTATAAATAAATTAATGAAACTATGACGCTCTTAGTAATATGATATATATATATATATATATATATATATATTTATACACATATATATCGATCTCTCATAAATAATTTAACATAGTCAAACGAACGTTATTCTCGTGACCAAGTGCAAACATCTATTTCAAACATCATTTCGAAAGGTAAATGTTTTATAGAATAAATTATGAAGATTTTCATCTGATTACCCATACCCAAATCGAATAATGACAATCTATAGAAGACGTGGATTTGACCGAATTGATTTATCATTATTGATACACATATTTCGGTCATCTCTCGTGGTTATTGTTTAATCAGGAAACATATACCAGTTATTAAAATTTTTCCATATTATATTTTTTCTCTTACAGAAAACTTCACATAAATATCGTCGTTGATTATGGAAAGTTGAACGAAAATGGTGTTGAGCGTGTTGCTGCCTCTACTACTACTTGTAACAACTTTAATTTATCTCATAAATTCTACCGGTAAGTATAATTACAATAATAATTACGGTTAACGAATGAAACTTAACCGAAAATCATATTTTATTTGTCCAATAGTTTTTAAAATAGACCATAAAAGTTTCTTTTATAAAATACACAAATTTTTTAAAAACAAACAATTTATTTGTAAAAATAATATACACATAAATTATTGATTACCATTCCCCTGACGTAATCATACAATTCAAACTTTATATATTTCTATTTATAAATCAAATAAGAAGAATTATAGTTCGATTTATAGTTCGAAGATTAATTCATTGAAGAAGAAAACAATAAAAAAATAGAGTGATGAATATAAAAACGAATTCATCATTAATCACGTAAGAAAATAAGAAAAAAATATGTAAAGCATTTCTCGTGTAAGTCGAAGAAAGTATAGGTAACCTAGGTAAACTAGGAATAGAGGAAATAGTTCGACTATCTTCATCCAGAGGAAACATCGACCACGGCGTAGAACTTTCTCAATTAGTGGCCCAGCCTGATCGACCAAGAGCTCATTCGTATTCACGATGAAGCCACGATTGTAGCCACGATTGTAGCCCAGAACAGAACGATAACTCTCTGTTTCCTCCTTTACTTTATTTTCTATCTCTTTCTACTACCCCTTCCTAACCCTCTCTATATATCCCTTTTATACCCCCCTTTCCATCACTTTTCTATCTTTTCTCTTTATTTTCTATATGCACTATCAAAATACTTTCTATCTGCTACTCTCATTAGTTCTCGTTTTATTTAACATTCCCCACCCACCTCTCTTTCTCTCTCTCTCACTCTTTTTCTTGTTTCATTCATAGTTTCCTTTTACCTTCTCTCTTTTTCTTTTTTATTTCTTTGTCTGTATCGTTTTTTATGATTTTAGTTGTCTTTCTTTTTTGACCTATCAAAGTTTTATTTAACATTTTCTCTCTCTCTCTTTCATATTTTCTTCCTATTTTCTCCTCTCTCTCTCTCTCTCTCTCTCTCTCTCTCTCTCTCTCTCTCTTTTTCTTGTTTCATTCATCCTTTCCTCTATCCTTCTCTTTCTCTTTTTCTTTCAATTTTTTTCTTTTCTTTCTATATATCCTTTTCTATGATTAGAGTCTTTTTTTTTTCTCTTTCCTTTTTTGTGTGGTCTATCGGAAATACCCTATCACTCAGAAGGACGACCAAAGATAGACGACGACTGAAGCTACGGCCTCGCGAAAATAATTAGGGTCGCTGCTTTTAATTACTCGTCCGTTCGTTTCCATCCATCTCCTCTTTCCTTCACTATTTCTCTATTTCTCTATTTCTCTATATCTGTAGTAAAGAACCGAACGATGTAACCCGTCTTTCTCGACTCTATGCACGACCATTCTCGATCCGGTCTAACGGACGTGCTTTAAAGCACGAGCTTTCATCTCTCTATCTCTCTCTCTCTTTCTCTCTTTCTCCCATGGTATCCAATCCCAAACTAGGAATAATATCGGGAATCGAAGTCAAGCGTGAATCCAAGTATCAACGTCGGAAAAATGAACGTTTAACAAAATTTTAAACTGTTATTACTATTTCCTTTCCCTACTCACCATCACCATCCACCATCACCAACAACCATCACTACCAACACCCCGCTCTTTCTTTTTTTTTTTATATCGTCCATCTATTTATTTTTCTTCGTAAAAATAAAGATAGAAAGAGACAGACAGACAGACAAAACGATGGAAGAAAATCGTTACGTTGAAATAAATTTATAGAAAAATAAATAAAATAGAATAAAATTCTTATAAGCGCGGTGAAAAATATGGAAGGGAAAAAAAAAAAATTTGTAAGGAATTTTCTACAAGATTCTCCATTACCCAGGATCTCTATCTTTTATTCCCTTCAACAACTCCCATAAGTCTCACGTTTTAATACTGAATTTTTTTTCATCTCTCGATTTCATTCGTTGTCGCCACCTCTTTAGATATTTTCCTCTCTCTCTCTCTCTCTCTCTCTCTCTCTTTCTCTCTCCTTTCCGCCCACCATCTCTCTCTCTCTGTCTCTCTCTCTCATTCCTATTTTTTACTTTTTTATTCATTGAAATGCATCGGAAAACGCGATTGAAATACCGGTTGTTTCTACTTGAATAAATTTCAACTGAAAGTAAGAAGAATGAGAGATCTTTCAATGTATAAAGAAAAACGGAGAGAGAGAGAGAGAGAGAGAGAGAGAGAGAGAGAGAAAGAGAGAGACGAAATGGACAACTTGCTTTTTTATTTGCTTCTCTCTCTCTTTTTCATTCCCTTTCTCGTTCCCCTTATTTCTTTCTCCCTCTCTCTCTCTCACTCTCTCTTTTATTTTCTTTACTAAAACTCGATTCGTTTCCTTTACGTTAGATCTCCGCTAGGTTCTTTTTTTGTTTTTCAATCTATTTTCTTCCTTCATTTTTTTTTTTTTTTGCAATCGAGCGAAGAAAAGGCGTTAGGTCGAGAACCAAATAAAAACCCCATCGTACAGATAAAAGGATTCCGAGGAAAATCAAAAGCAACATTACTGAAAATCTTTATCATCTTTATTTTTTTTCTATTTTTTTTTTTGTTTTCCTCACACTTTTTTGTCAATCCTATTACGAATAAAAAAGGAAAACACGGATTTTCGATTCATCGTTAAGATTAATTTGTTAACGAATAATAAATACAAAATATATATTGATAAAATTTAAACGTAAAGTAAAGAAAAACGGAGATACATCGTGTTAAATTTCATCGTTAACGATCCAGCTAGATTTTTCTTCTCTCTCTCTCTCTCTCTCTTCCTTTTTTATCTTTTTGTTTCTCATTCTCTAACGTCTATGTAAGAAAGAAATTCGCTCGAAACTTTTCTCTCGGTTCGAACATTACAGCAAAATACTTTTCTATCGTTTCCAACATCCCACCCCACTATACCCCACCTCACCTCTATGTTCACCTACCTACTTACACCCTATTCCTGTTCTACATTTTTATTGTTTCTATACGAAAAGACCTTTTTCTGTATAAGAATCACCACTACCAACCATTGTTGGTTGCAATCCCGATGTAATTGTATTCTCACCTAACACCGTAAAAGTAAATACAATATTATTCTATTCCGTTTAGAAATGATTACAAATTGTTAGTGTGTATTCTCTGTTCAGACAATAATCTTATTTTAATATAAAACTCTATATTAACATTGTTCTATATCAATAGATTGATCTAACTTCCTGCTGACTAATTAGTTCTCCAAACTTTGTTACGATTAATCGTAACTAACAATAAGAACGTTCTATCGCTATAAAGCTAACTATTAAATTAGAAATTGTTTTCTTACTTAATTCTATTGTATATTCGATATAATATAATAAATTAATAAATCGATATTAATAAATCAAATCGATAGATACGCGATAATATTAATTAATTTAACATAAAAGTAATATTTTCTTTTTTCGTTTCTTTTTTTTTTTTAATATTTTATCTCAAATTATTAAATTTATTACAAAGTTAATATAAAAAATTGTTCGATTCAATGATTCAAAAATTCGATTTACTAGTGAAGAGAGTGCGCATTTCAATGTTCATAGCTATTCTCTAGCTTCTTATTAGGAAGGAAAACATGCAGAAGAGAGAGAGTGTGTGTATGTATGTATATATATGTGTATGTGTATGTATGCACAGCAGCACTTTCCACTTCACTTTAAGAGGCCACGACGGCGAGCTCGTTTGCATCGTTATTGACTACTTCGAAGAACCGTTGCGAGCGGATCTCCTACTTTTCCCAACCCCCTCCCCTCCCCCTCCCCCTCCCTCAAACCCACCCCCTTTTCCTCATACCTACGTACCTCATTGTCAAACGTGTGCACTCGTGCTTACCTCAGGACCTGGGATACCATACTACTAGTATAGTAGTTCTATTCCTAGCACATTGTCCTCCTACTATTATATTTACCCACCAACTTATACTGAGGTGAATTAAAAGTTTTTACATTATTTTTTTTCAATTAATTATTTAATTAATTGACTAATTATTTTTCAAACTTTGTTATCTAATTTTTCATTCCTTTTTTGAACATACGTACCATGAAACTTTATCCCCGCCTCTCCACCCCCTCCCCCCCATCACCACCAAAAAAATACAAGTTAGTTGCAAAGTAATAGCAAGTTATTTTGTAAAAAATTCATTATAACTTTTTCGAGACGTAACTTTTTAAATTAATTATTATTTTTTTTTTTTTCCTTTTTCTTTTATTTTTACATCGCAAAATCTCTCGTTCGTCCTAGAAAATTTTTTTCCGTCCGATTTCGTAGAACTTATCTCGTGAAATATTTTATCTGATGGGTAGAGCTTTTGGTACATTGTAATAAATTTTGTTTTTTTTTTTTATTTCCTCCTCCATGGCTTTTTCTTTTTTTTGTCGTAAATTTTATCCTTTCTTTTTTTTCTCTTTTTTTTTATTTTCTTTTTCTTTTTATGATTTATGTCTCGTTTACGCGATAGGATAAATTTGATTAAATAAAAATTGTATAAACAATAACATGTGTGGGGCTCCTCTTATCGTAACTTTTAAATGAATTTTGATCGATATGGGATTTATGTAATTTGTATCCCTTTTCTATCGTAATTAGATAATACTTTATCAAAAAGCTTTCTCCATTCATCCATACCAACATCATCGTATATCTACATTGAGCATCAGACCGCGATAACTTGTACGAGGAAAGAGTTCGATACGGATTACATCTCTCTCTCTCTCTCTCTCTCTCTCTCTTTTTCTCTTTTTTTTTTCACACAACCTATCATGAAATGCATGCATCCGTGCAATTTCATAAATCCTTTCACACGTTCTTCTGACGAGCTTCCATCGCACTGATTACTATCGTCACACGTATAGACCTCAATCGATGAACAACGTATTTGTAGAGACAAAGTATTGGAAAATGTATGTAATGAAAATTTCGAAGTAACATTTTAATATTATATATACACAATAAAAATATATATATTTTTTTTTTTATATTCAC